ATTTAGAATGTGTGCAGGTACTTCAAGTCCACACCGCCTTTGTAAGAGGTGCTGCAATAACACGCAGCGTTAGGTCCAGCAAGATGTAGGCCACATTTTCCAGATCGGCAACAAGTGCAGACGCTGCTCAAGCACCTGAAAACTACAATGCCCTACCGGAGAGTTACACGCAAACACTGGTTTATTTCCTTCCGAAAGAGCAGCTGCATCTCTGCCACCTCCCGGCAGCTCAGTGCCTTGTCACAGGACTGAAAGGTCAGCCTGTAGCAGAGGCTCTTCCGACCCGTCTCTGACTGCTGGAAACAGTCTATTAACTGGATGGATACAACCATTTCACCCGATACCTGCCTAGCAATGGTGTGAAAAGCAACTTCATCAAATTGTTCCCCATCAGGAACCCAAAAGCTGATATCATGCACGTAGGAAGGTGGATAGAGAGAAAAACTCTTGAAAAGCCTTAACTTTCCTCTAGGAAATTGACAGAGGAACCGTGTGTCTGATGTCCAGAGCATTCGCCAGTCAGGTATTCCACAGATCAGCATAGCTAGGAGGTCAAGATTCAATGAAGCAAAGACAACAACCAACTCACTGCTTACTAGTTCATAATGAGCTGTCCTTATAATTCCCACACAGGAGCCCTTCTCACAGGAGCCTGAAGCATCTACCTCCATACAGATGAAGTACTGAATTCTACTAAGCTGAGATTCAAAAGCAACAAAGTCATTTAGCTCAGTTGTTTCAAAGCTCGCTTCTTCCTGCAGATTGATATTCAGTTTAAAGCCGGAAACAGTCTGGTGAAGAGAACGTATGCTGGTTTTAATGTTATTCACCAACATCTGGATACAGCTATTCTCTGTACCCCTGTTAACTGCACAAACAAAAACCATCTCATGAAAAACAGGCATGGAGTAAGGAGTGATAAGACACTTCCTGAAAACTGGGCCAGAAAGAACATGAAGCGTCCCCGGGAGAAAGGCTCCTCTTTGTATTATTGCTTGAGCATAAGGCAGAAGGGAAGGTCTAAGATAATACTGTTTTGAAATGTGGCATCCCTCTTGTACATTCACCCAGCCATTCTTATCTGTGCCCCTGCAAAAATCAACATGGGAAAATAAAACTGCATTTGCCAGTCCATTAGACATTTCTTCAGTGCTTGGAGTCTCCTCTGGGTTCAGAATGATCCAAAAGATATTTGAGTGACAAACACCATTGAGGTGACCTTGGTGGAGCAGAGAAAGGCAGTAGTCAATGTTTTGTAACGGAAAGGCTTGGCTGAGCTCTGCAGTGAGCTTCTCCTTTACTGTCCGTACTGGATGATTTGAATTTAGTTCTAGGAAACCCCTGTGAAAAATAAAAGTGCAAATTACAGACACCACTAAACAGATTTCCTTGAAATCCTTCCTGTGATCATAATTTGAGTGCAGCAATTTACCCAAAACAATCTCAGATATTAAGCCAGTTTCTAGTAACAACCTGAACAAGCCATGTCTTTCATCAAAGGTGTTGCAATGGCTAACACGTATTCAGGACAGTGGTGTTTGTCTCCAGGTTGCAATCAAGAATTAACGGCACTTTTGCTGGTAAAAAAGGAATGGGACTTAACAATCAGCACAGGCATCACCATTTCCACTCAGCACTGGCATTACCAAACTACAGAAATTAATCAAATTATGCTAGCCCTGGATAGTCTCCGAAGTACGCAGCAGTCCCCCTGAGAGGTTAGCATGTTTTATCCTAGCTAGCCTTAGTATTGCGGTATTAGCAGACACTAAGTCAGCTCCTGAATTTCTTCCACAGTACAGTAAAACAGATTAAAGTTTTCATCTTTATTTGTGCGTTCAAGTATACAGCAGCTTGGTCTCAACCATAAAGTTTCTTTTTGTTCTGTTGACTTGTTTTTAAGTAGGCCATAACCACAAGCCAACATGAAACAGACTTGAAGAAGAAATGGAACAGGAAATTCTGTAAAGGGAAAAGGAGGGAAAGTGAAGCAATTCCATTTTATCTGACACCTATGCTGGTCATTCCCACTGAAAGCAGGAGTGTGTGTTATTGCCAAACAGAAACTAATTATAAAACTTACCTATCAATTTTATCCACAAGTACTTCTGGCACTTGAAAAGAAACTTTTCGGCTTTCCAGTTCTATCTCGCAGATCATAGGTTTGAAATACGGAAGTGGCATGCTTCGTGTGAAAATGTGGTTTAAAGCACCCTCTACACAGAAAGGTTTATCTTGACTCCTGCCAATACACAAAAGCAGAGCAAAGCCATTGATCGTTTCTTATATTTAATGTGTCACAAGTAACTCTGTGTAACACTAACACACCTCTTGTTGAATCCCAGGTCTTGTTACAAGGTGACAAAAATGCAACACTACCATATTTTTACTGGGCAGGTGGTCCAACACTGGAACAAGTTGCACAGAAAGGTTGTACAGTCTCTATCCCTGGAGACTGAATGTGGCTCTGAGCAACTTGCTCTAGCTGGCTCTGCTTTGAGCTGTGGGGTAGGACTAGATGATTGCTGGAGGTCCCTGCTGACATCATCCATGCTGTGATTCTGTGATTGCCTGCTAAGCAGATACACATACCACAGTCCTCCTGCTGTCTTTTGGCCAAGATTGACATTTGTTCTGAAATGGACCATTTTGACCTTTAAAATCCTAAGATAATCTTATTTTTTAGAGGGTACTTTGGCAAGAGGCTTGCATTTTTATCTTGGCTATTCTGCTCAGAGGCGAAAAAGAACTGTAGCTATTTTAAGAAAAATTAAAGGGAGTTTCTCTCTCCAACAAACAAGATACTAAAAGAACATACTAGTGCTAGGCATTATAAGACCACGAATATCAATTTTTCAGTTTTGCCACATGACGGTTACCTGTAGCCTGTACACTTATATCCATGGATAGTCTCTGCTTTAAAAGCATGAACGTTACTCAAGATAAATCCAGCTCCTGCTGCCACAGCCACTATTTGCCAGCTGTTGTGCCATTCTCTCCTTGGTTGATCAGCAGGTGTCCCACCCTGTCCATTGCAAAGAGCCACATGGACCTCTCCCTCCTCTGTCAGCACTTCTGCGGAGCTGGAAGGAAAGCCAGGCAACAAGAAAAATCCTGCTAGCACATCCAGAAATTTTATAGTGCCAGAAAAACACCTGTAGCTTTTTATAGTGCCAGAAAAACACAGCTAGAAATCTGTATCACAGCAATTAGCACAGAACTACTTCTGGTTTACTCACCTATGGAAAAAGCGGGCAAGCAGCTCTCTATTCTTCACTACCCCAGCCTTTCTCCCACAGTGAGGGAAGTTGAAATAAATACAGTCAAACTCCCTTTTTTCAGGTAAAAAATAGTCCTTCAGCTTGGTGCAGTCCACAGAAAACACAACTTCGGCTCCTTCAAAAGTAAACGAAAAACAAGACTCTGATGTTTATCATTACAGAAAATTTTAAAGAAAGGTAGCAATTAAAGTCCTCTAGTCCATTTTTAAGCATGTCAGAGCAGCAGCTGACAGGCATCTTCCCACTCATGTGCATCAGGAAAACCTGAAAGCCTGGGCTCCCTTTGCTCTCTTGCAGAGACTTCTGCTAACTGGCTACTTGTTTCAGCACTGTTTCAGTCTGATTAGATTTTAGGGTATTTGATTTAGCCTCTTGGACAATTCCAATTCCTCATGGCAAAAGTGGGCTTCTGAGATGCCTGGAGTGGTGAAGGGCTATAAAGTGACCGGACAGCTCCTACCTCCGGAGGCACCGCAGCACCGGGTCCCTGACTTAAGGAAGGCATGCCGCTCTAGAGCCATGCTTCGACCGTTACGAGAAAAGCGGTTACAGCTAACCGCCGAGCGCCAGCGACGCCGTTTCTCTCCCCGTCCCGGCCTCCTACGTCGCTTTGCCCACGGGCCCCCGCTACCACCCTCCCTCCCTACCG